ATTGTGTAGCTTTGTAGCTTAATTAAAAACAAAACAAAACTCCACTAATATTATTTTTTTTTTGTATTTTCCAAAATATTTCTATCCATTTATACATCTATCTGTATCATTCAATCTACATATCATTCGCAGTCCAAAAAAAGATATTCTAAATACAATGGAAGATTTAGAAGTCATGCGATCTTCAGATAAAGATAAAAAAAAATCACCAAATCACTCCTATTCTCAAATGCATGTACATAATAATAAAGACAGCTGGTGTAAGGTGAAAAGAACACACGACATTACAACTTCACTCAGAAGCGTTATCAGCCTGAACAATATACTTCAGAATTTGGAAACGTTTCGTTATCACAAGATATGAAGTACAATTTATTTATTTATTAACATAAGAGAATAAACAGTGGTCTATGTAGACGAATGTTCTTTGGATGTTTTTTTTTTCCAAATTTTTCCATTGCCAGCAGATTTTTTATTTATTTCTCTAACAGCAGTTCCTAGATTTACTGGCTTATCTTCTATTTCTTGTTAGATAAATGAAATTAAAAGTATAGTATATATAAAAAAGGTAATAATTCCAGTTAACTCCCTACAACACGATGATCCTTCACTGTATATTGTTCGGGTTAGTTGCTTTTACCACGTTTGTGGACTTACATCGCTAAAATCTGGGGATCGATTCCCCGCGGTGGACACAGAAGATAGTCCTATGTGGCATTACTCTAAAATAAAACATACGCACAAACATGTTACAACGTTTGATACTTATGGAATATTTTAGTTTTAAGGATAACTAACTGTAGCAAACGAAAGACTGGAACGTTTATTTTGAATGCACAAACATGTTACCACGTTTGAAACTTATGGAATATTTTAGTTTTAAGGATAACTAACTGTAGCAAACGAAAGACTGGAACGTATATTTTGAAGCTTGTGGGGACACATTGATGCAATCATAGACCACTTTCATTTCGAGAAAACCAGTATATGTAAAACATAACAAAGATTTGTATCTTCGTTTGTTAATATTTGAAACGGAAGTATATCAAAGTAATATTTATAGACGATTCGTGTTCGTTTGTTAATATTTGAAACGGGGATATATCAAAAGTAATATTTCTAGACGTTTCGTATTCGTTTGTTAATTTTTGAAACGGAGGTATATCAAAAGCAATATTTCTAGACGTTTCGTATTCGTTTGTTAATATTTGAAACGGAGGTATATCAAAAGTAATATTTCTAGACCTTTCGTGTTCGTTTGTTAATATTTGAAACGGAGGTATATGAAAAGCAATATTTCAAGACGTTTCGTATAGTATGTTGTTGTTTTTCTCAACAAACTATGCAGAATAAACGTTTATTTGCTAAACAAACAAGAATAAAACACCTTACCTTTAAAACTGTTCTTAAAACAGCAAAGCCGGCACTGAAATATGGAATGTGTGATCGCATTGATCTGATTACTCCTGTTCCCCAGAGTTGCTTGGAATGTTTTTACTTCGCTAGCCCCCCTCTCTCCTGGAATAGCTCTTGTAACAAATAACGCCCAATCAATGAACTCTATCGACTCACAAAGTTTATGTCAAACGAAGTGAACACCTGGACGTGCGAAACAAGCTTAATAACAGGTAAAACACATGACAAAGATGGATGTATACATCACACACAACTGAGTTTTCAACACAGTTTTTCTTCTGTCTGAAAAAGAAGTTAACATGGATTTTTTCTCTTATTCAAAAAACTCCGTTAATGCATTCGGTAATCTCACAATCAAGTGTGAATTCCTTGAACAGATTACGGAGGGGAGGGATAGTTATTAACAATATGATTATAAAGTTTTAAGATGGCTTTAGACATTTATCATACAATTATAAACATTACTTTCAAACAAGCAGGAGACGGTTGAAAAAGATTGGCGCTGGCGCCTGAATACAGCTATAGAGGAGAAGACACTGAGCACTTATATTGTCTGGCAACGTACCTTGGCAACCAAATGCTGGGTGTGTGATCATGCGCACTATTGACTAAAGAATAAAGACTGGAGTACTGATATATGTAGTAGGACGTAACTACTTTCTGCCGCAAGCTTAAATTTGTAATGAGGTTGTGGCACAAAATTTGACGCACATTGTGTCGTGCATGCTGTGCACTGTGTCCACTCTACGTTGTTGTAAGTTTGATTTAACATTTTCATAAGTTACTCTTTTTTCATTTCTTTTTTTGTTGTTGTTCTTGTTGTTGAACTCGTTACGAATGCTTTAGTCAACGATGAACTAAAAATATGAGCAAATGAATACTTCTCGTTCGTGGCTTTCTATAAGCTAGTTCACCTATTTCAAAAAGTCCTTTGAAACATCCCCGAAAGCCATTAATTCATTTAAATTGATCTACACGACATACATAAGATAAGAGCCAATTACTGTTCTCTGAATAGGCATTAGAAAACTACTACTGGAACTGTACGTTTGATCAGTATAGAAGCAAATCTTATCGAAATACACATTTGAAGTAGAATACACAGATGTATAAGATCAGCTATTCATTTCGTGAGAACATTTTTGAAACGAGTCTTTGTGTTTTTTTGGTTTACATTAGTAAATAAAGGTATTTTAAAATAAATCTCTAAATTTAGCTTGGAAATTTAACGCTAGTCAATGACAAGTAGATTTACGATAAATAATTATAAATTAGTGATTAAAAAAACAAACACAAAAGTCTGAAAGTGGTGTAATGATTGACTTATATTTGTATAAAAATACCAAAACACGAGTTAAAAAATCAATCCAAGAAATCTGTTTTTAAGTAGACTTGTTATTTTGTTATCTATATATTTGGCGCTTAGTTATTACTCCTGGAAAATGTGTTTTGAACTGTGATACATTTGAAAGTTAATGAAGATATTTAAAATGAAATACTCTTTTGTTAGGAATGTTTATCATACAATTGTGTATGATTTAAAGATAAAAAGAATGTACGTCTACAGACACTTTCACCTATCTTATTGGCTAAATGTCTAAGTCAGAGACCCCTAGGGTTCAGATATATCCATCTCAATCTTTTAATTACTGACTAGAGGAAAGGCAGCCAGCCAGCAGCACCTGACGTTACCCAATCTTTTACTTATTGATCAGAGGAAAGGCAGCCAGCCAGCAGCACCTGACGTTACCCAATCTTTTACTTACTGATCAGAGGAAAGGCAGCCAACCAGCAGCACCTGAGTTCACCCAATTTTTTACTTACTGACCAGAGAAAAGGCAGCTAGCCAGCAGCACCTGACGTCCCCTAACTTTTAATTACTGACCAGAGGAAAGGCAGCCAGCCAGCAGCACCTGACGTCACCCAATCTTTTAATTACTGACCAGAAGAAAGGCAGCCAGCCAGCAGCACCTGACGTTACCCAATCTTTTAACCAAGTAACGAGAGATGAGTATCACTTAACGCACACACAGCTGGATATGGGGAGAGTTTTCAGCAGTATCACATCTCGAACTTTGAACCCTTCGTTTCTCAGGCAGGCACGCTAATCACTAGGCAGCACCTTGGTTTTGTATTTATATTTTATTTTATCCATGTAGGTTTAGCCAAGTTATATGAGTCAGAGTTAAAGAGTTTTTATCTTTTGGTTGTTCTCCACTCGTGCCCATTAAGGGTAATTGGACAATTTGTATTATGCTAAAGATGTTGTAGCAGCATGAGAAATGTTTATTTTGAAAGCTTATAACTTAAATCAATCTTCAATTTCATTCACTAAAACAACGAAAAACAAAACAGCAAATTTTGCATTCATGGTCGTAATTTATTAATAAATAAAATATAGATAAAAAATATTCACGATGACAACATCTGCAGTTGAAACGTATCATGAAAATAGGCCTAGCCATTCAAAAGTTGTCAAAGGTAGTCATTTGACAAATTGGCATAATTCTATTGGCTACTGGTTGCTTTGAAATTAACAGAGTTTTTTTTCGTTCATTATATATATATATATATATTTGTGGCAACTAACTAAAAAAATTCATTTTAAAATTAAATACATATCCACCTATATAAGAAAGTTATATTCAGATATAAAAGAGAGAAAAAGAAACATATTAATAAAAACATAACATTAACTTGTTTTTCTTACACAAAAAATTAATAGTAATAGAAAAATAGATAAATCATAGTTAGGCTATTTTATTTACTTATTTATTCACAAATTAAAAAAAAACTAAGAAACTAAATTAGCCAGAAATGTGCATATTTATTTCAACAATATGCTTCTTTTGTTTGACATCTGTTTCAATGAACATGCTTCTTTTGTTTAACATCTAATTCAATCAACATGTTTCTTTTGTTTAACATCTAATTCAATCAACATGTTTCACATCTATTTCAATGAACATGCTTCTTTTGTTTGACATCTATTTCAATGAACATGCTTCTTTTGTTTAACATCTAATTCAATGACATGCTTTTTTGTTTAACATCTAATTCAATCAACATGCTTCTTTTGTTTAACATCTAATTCAGTCAACATGCTTCTTTTGTGTAACATCTATTACAATCAACATGCTTCTTTTGTTTAACATCTATTTCAATCA